CGCTGTTGTATGCAAAAATTGTGTCGAGATGAATGAATGAGAAGATGATTGAAAGAAGAATGATAATCATCTCTCTACTATGGGCGATTTGGATTTGTAGAAATGAGAAAGTATCATGCCACGTCTCTCCTTAGTCTACAGCAATAGTCACCAACGCATCCAATAACCTTCTCTGGAGCAACTAAACCAATTCCCTCACCCAGACTCGATCCCTTCGCAACCAGCTTGTGGCATCCTAAGAAACGTCTAGTTCACCACCAAATAATCAATAAATAGAGATTCACTGTGATGGAGCATTTAAAAATGATCCACAGGATGTGCCTTATAGCTATATGTGCAATGCAGTCAAAGTATAGGTTCTATGTAAAAGTGAAATGATGGGTAAAAGCGGAAGCACCAAAATGAAGCATAAAAGCGTAAGTTTTGTTAAACATTCTATAAATTTAATAGAAATTTTTGAAGCATAACTTTTATTTTATAAAATATAAACAAATAAGAGTACTAGCTCACATATTAAAGATCACTCTCACATGCACGAACTAAATTAATGGACTTTTGCACAAGCATTCACCGCCTTCCTCATGCTTTCTGGAAAAAAAAAATGAGAAGAGGATATCAAAAGCAAATGATGAAGCTATAAGGGTTGTAGGCAAACTTCATTAATAAGTGACAGTGGCGGCAAATGGGAGGCTAAGGGAGATGAACTTTGACAACAACGTGGTCATAAGGGTGGGGTGCGAGTTGCAAGAAGGAAAAATGGTGTTGGCGGCCGGAATCTGAATGCGGAGTGTGCTTTTTTTGGAGGTAGAGAAAAGACGAGAATGGAGGAGAAGTGACAATGAATTAGGGATGACCGGAATCTGAATGCGGAGTGTGCTTTTATTAGAGGTAGAGAAAAGACGAGAATGGAGGAGAAGTGACAATGAATTGAATGACTGGATGAGGAATTCTTAGAAGGAAATACGAAAAGGATAACTCTACTAAAAACAAATAAAATTGATAATTTTTTCCTCCTTTGACCTCCAAAACTTAACCAAGCCGGACCCGATATGGTACTATGTGCAATAATTTGTTCAGAGCGGACGACACCCATAGGCGGAGGCAGGGGCCTTGTCCCGGGACAGGGGTAAATTTCGAAGGAACAAAAACACGCCATATATATGTATATTGGTGATGGAAGAGAACACCTATAGGTAGTATTAGAGTATTTTGTCACTACAACAGAACTCATTACTTGTTCCTAAATTGACATAAAATTAATTTATTATACTATAAACGAAATTCCAATTGCAATAAAGACCTAATCGGATCTCTAGCGATAGCGGCAATTCCACTAGTTTTGATTTTACGAATTACAACTGCAAGTGAAGAAAGAGCATTTTCAGCTTTGAGTTATATTAAGAACAAGTTTCCAAGTCGATTTGGCGAGCAATTTGCTAATGCTATATTAGTGGGCTAAATTTCATGTTTGCCACCCGAATTACTTTTCTTTCTTATTCACCACTAACTTTACAAATCATTTCACCGTCAGTCACTGGCCGTCAGTCTCTGCTAACACCGTCAACTTTTTGCTGATGTGGCAAACATAAATGTTGACGGGACTAACAGAAAGCTAAGATAGAAATTTTTATTAAAAAAATTAACAAAAAAATAAAATAAAAATCATCACCGTCGGCCCTCCGTCCCCCTCTCTGCTTCTCGTACTCCTCCTCGCCTCCCCTCTACAAATCCCTAAAATTGGCAAACGGGGGATGGGTTTTGTAAGATGACGTGCGACCGACAAGCGGAGATGAGAATTGAAGGAGGCGATAATTAGATTTGGTTGGGGGAATCGATAAGTAGTGGGATTAGGTACTTATCAAACACCGACCATTCATCTAAACCCCTAAAAGTGGTCAACCTCCCGAATCAAACACCTACGCCGCGTTACGAAATCATATCCTCCCATCGCTACCTCATGCTTGTTGTGTTTCGTCATGCTGGCGATCCCCGCGGCCGAGCCGGTGACGGTAAGGGTGTTGAACGGGTTGAGCGAGGATCGGAAGAAGCTGCTGGTACATTGCAAGTACGCGGCGGCCGGCGGCGAGGAAAACCACTTCAGTTACCAGCTTGCCGTTCCGCCGCTATATTTTCCTCCCTCCATTGTGATCGAAGAAACCCTCTCCCGATTCTCAATCTAATTTCAAGTTGAAATGTAAGTATTAATTTCTTCGAGATTATCCAACAACTGGAATTTGACGAGCCTTCTACCTTCCCCTGTCAAGAACTTACATGAGATTTTAGTTTTTAACCTAGACATCTACGCTTGGCTTGGTGGAAACCTCTCAATACCGCTTAAATGGTCATCTACCTGGTTAATTTGGTCTTGGCGACTTAGCCTGCTGAAGTTTGATCCCCTGGTTTGATTTTAGGGATTTGCAGAGGGGAGGCGAGGAGGAGTACAAGAAGCAGAGGGGGACGGTGGACCGGAAGTGATGAGTGTTATTTTATTTTTTATTAATTTTTTTTAAATAAAAATTTCATCTCAGCCTTCTGCCAGTCCAGTCAGCAGCTCTGTTTGTCACATCAGCAAAAAATTACGGTGTTAACGAAGTATGACGGAGATTGACGGCCAGTGACTAACAGTGAAATGATTCGTAAAGTTAGTGGCGAATCAGAAAGAAAAGTAATTCGAGTGGCAATCGTGAAAGATTTGTATAATTTGAGTGACCAAACATGTAATTTAGCCTATATTAGTAAGATACATTGAAAGAGACTTATTTAATAGTGTAGACGAAGAATGTTTTTGCGTTTCTTTCACAATATGAAATCCCTTCGTGGTTGTTTATGAAAACAATGATTGTATAGTTGGTTCTTTTCAATCTATGAATGAATTATTTGGATATAATTAATTTTAATTAATTTCAATTAAATATTTCTTAATTAAATACCTATATGTTTACTCATGAAACGAGGACTGGGGTAGTTTGAAATGCTGCCTCCGCCACTAAATGCATTGGACCAAAGTAACCTAGAGACCGCACCAAATAGAACGAATATAATGCGGTCTTGCCCTTGGTGCGATGATATTTAACTAAGGGAAAATGATCATTATTGATATTTGGACTGAACCAAACCGGACCACAGTGGACCCAATGAAATATCGATTTAGGTCTTGGTCCTTTTCTTACTTTTGGATTGTAATTCTTGAGGTTTGGTTTATTTAGGTTCGAACCAAACCATTGCCAACCCCTGCAATATTGTCTAATTCCTGGATATCAAAATCCTTAAAAATAGGTTCCAAAGTTAGCTTCTAAGGCCTTTACTTGGGCTTTTGGTGTAAAAAAATTTTGGAACAAAAGCTACAATATTCAGAAAGTTCAAAGCATAAAGGAGTAGGCTTTTAGGCTTTAAAACTAGCTTTTGAATGCATGGGCTATATGGTTATCAATAGTCATGGATAGATTTGTGACGGTAAGCTGTTTTTTTTTTGTTTTGTTCCTCTCCTTTTGAAAAGTAGAAGCACTGCTCATGTTGTGTTAAGTCTGAGGGCATACCTTGGGCTCCGTCATCTCTAACCACCCTGTACTTGGATGTGGTCTTGCTATGATATATTAGGTATTATCTCTAGAATCCTTGAGTCCTTCCCAAGTATGAGGGTGGACTGCCTTCCCCAGAAACATAATGTTTGAGCGGATTGGGTGGCAAAATCTTGTCTTCACAACTCTCTCCCACGTGATTGGATTTCAATCATCCATCTATTAGCTAATTTTATTTATTAAACCATTGTAATCTCTTTTGAAAGGAATAAAATCATGAATTATATTGTAAAAAGCTAAAGAACATAGGGTTAGGGATAGTTTAGGAATAATTAACCAGATAACAATTAGAATTTTAAGTTAGAGTCTATATATTGATGTTTACATATTTTGTCAAACTCCTTATAAACAATTAGTTAAAGAATCGTTAGATTATCCCTATGTTTCTCTCATATCACTAATCACTATTATTTTTCTTCCCTAGTCTCCAATTATTCTCCATCCCTTCGTCTGAATCTTCAATTTTATCCATCACCCATATCCATACATCCATTAAAATGATATCAAAGACTCATTTGAGCTTATCATACCTCATGGAAGAGTTCGGCCAAAACCTAGTATTCTCCAATATGAAGTCTACTCCCATGAGGCATCCGAGTGAAGCAATCCTGCAGGTTGCCACTAGTGCAAATCTTCTCAACTGAGAAGAAGCTAGACGTGGGTGTCGACGACAACGCCCCACTTCCAACCACATCCCCATGAAAACACTTCTGACAAAGATCGAGGCCTTCTCGGTAAGAACCCATAAGTTGGATTGAGGAAGGTTAGTCAGTGAAGATCATGTGGCGGGATACAAAGTGTGGGTTACGGAGTAGCGAGCTGAATTTCGTGGAGGCTGCTTCACACACTAATCATTAGGGGTGGGCGTTGGTGTGATTCGACCACATCAAATCATATTGAACCGCATATGCGGTCAAAGCAAATCACGCAGTTTAAGCCACACTCATTAGTCTTATTTAGTATTTAATTCATGTTATGTAAAAAAGGACATTCGGGTTGGACAAAGATAAGGAGAGAAGTGAATGCTTTGACTGAGAAGGAAACAGATTAAGTTATGTAACTCTATAAAAATGTACTTGGTCTTTCATTGCATAGCATTGAAGATTTGAACAAAAATGAGTTTTATTGCTTTTTTTCTCCCATTCTAATTCTCTTCATTCTATATCTATTATTATTTATCGTTTAAGTATTTACACATAGTTAGTGCAACAATTTCTACCGTTGAAATTCATTTGACATTTAGTTTTACATGGCTTGACTTGAAGAATTCAACTCGAATATAACGAGCGGATCTGTAGAGTTTTTGAGCGTCTGAGATGTAGATTTGGTTCATAAACTAATCACTTGACTATTGTTAAGTAGATGGCTTTCTAGCTTATCAGTTTTCTTATTTGGGAAAATGCAAATCAATACATTAATGCTAGCTCCAACATACAAAAAAACTAGGATGAAGAATTATCCATTGCATGCATATTACCACAATTTCAACACAAGGTTACAGAGTCTGTGCCTTGTTGGACGCAATAGCAGTCTACATCCACACAAACAGTCTCGACGCAATGGTATTTGGCGCCACAAAAAGTACTACAATTTTTTGGTGTATTGCATGGAATATCATGGTCACCCTGTTTGATATCAAGAAGTGTTGTCTTGGATTCTGTACTATTACCCACAAGACCTGCAAATTAAAATTTGACAAAAAATTAGCCAATGTTCGTATCTAAACAATCAGAAAACTATAAAAATAAAATTAACCAAAATTTATATGGTATTGCACACGAAACATACAATAGGGACAAAAAGAATAAGTTCTTACAAGAAACAATGAGGAACAGAATAAACAAACTGGGTAGCTTCATGTGCACCATTTTCGTTCTCTTTGATTTTTGCTTTCTTCTTTTGTTTTCGTAGGTAATTAAAGGAGTTAGCCCTATGAATGTTTTTTTGAATGAAGCCCTATGAAAGTTTATATATAGCAGTTGGAGAGGTCAAAAGGAATTTTGTTTCACCAAGTATATAATTAAGTTAAATAAGGTAAAGAAAGTAATATGGATATGCAAGGGAAAAAAAGGCAAGGGTAAGATGGCATTATCAAGTAGCGTATCTAAGAGAGAGGCAACAAAATGAATGTAAGATTATCCAATAGAGGGAGGAAAGCCAAGATGGATATGTTCTACGTAAGATACATCCAATCACTACTCCTTTTGGCCACTTTTGTATAATATATCTAAAATTATATTACCATAAACCAGCCCACAACAGTTATCATACTGATAATATTACAACAAACCCGTATTTTGAAGAATTAGTTAATTTTGTAGAACATGATAAATGTTTTATTTCTATACATAATTCTTATAAATTTCGAAATAAGACTTGTAAAAAGCCTTCTCTCTCTTCTAGAATCTTTGTCAGTCAAGGAAAAAAAAAAACAAAAGGGTGAAGAAATTAAATCGGCCCCTCCTTGCATCTCAATGATTTTTGGGTAAAACATCTTCTATCGCTCTCATCTAGGATACTTGTTAGTAAAAGAAATAAAAATGACAAAGGGTGTGTAAATTACTAGTTTGCCACATTTGTTCGTTAATGAATTTTGGGTCAAAAGTTTTATCTCTCCTCTCTATAGTCTTTTTCAATCAAAGAAAAAAAAAACAAAGAGTGTGGAAATTGAAAGTCTCCCCCTACTTGTTCTTCAATGAATTATGAGTGATTAGCTGAGATCTTGATAGACGGTTCTTGATCTGTGTTTGTGCTCTATTCGTGCTAAGTTTGGTATGGTGCCAAATAATGCCATTTTAACAGCTACCAAAGTTTAATTTCACTCATTGAATTTGAGTGAAGGGAATGGAAATTTGAGAAAATGCAATAAAATGATCTTATCGCTATCAATAGAGGAAAGACGAGGGTGAGACAGATTTGTCCCATTCCATACAGTGGCAAACCTTCATCATCTAGCATACCACCATCAGTCTCTCCTTCTACCATTTTGGACAATGTGGAACCTTAATGGTTCCCTCTAGAAAGATGTGAAATTCATGAAATAGATTTTGGAAAACAAAAGGACATGGAATGTTGTTCCCTTCGCCACTCTCGATGAAACATGTTCGGCAACAATAAATTATTGCCCAAAAATTTTGAAGACCCTATGAGCTTCACCCTTCAATTTACTATGGAATCTATGGGAACTTATTGGCACGCTAAAACACAACACCTAACAATGGCCAAGTGTAACCAATGAAAGGGACTGCAGTATAGGCAAGTTTAATTATCAACCCGGGGTCTAGATCTACTGCTTACTCCGTGATTCTCTATTATCTAGCAAACTAAGTCGAGTGATTGTTGTGAAAAGTAAAAGCAACAAGAAAGCAGTAAATTGTTCGGGTTTCTAAAGCAGGCAAGAGTCACTCGGGATTGAGTCCCCCTAGCCCCTTAGTTAGGTTCAATTGCAATTCCCTGGGTTGATTTACTGTTGATTAGACTGCGGAAGATCCGACAGTAGGTTGGAATCTCTTAAGCTGACCAAGCCCTCACAGTCTAACTACCCGGCAGACGACTAGTCTTCACCGGGATAGAAAGCTGAGGCTATGAACACAGAACTCCACTACTGGCGCCAAGAACACCAGTACAAAGCAGTAAACTGGCTAACTCTCGTATAGCCAATCTCCTACTATCGAATGAAGAGGCTCTAACAACCTAATCAGATTCTATCTATCTCAGGTTGAAGCAGAAATTGAGAAAAGCTGATCAGACTCAAATCAATTCAATAAACATGCGTCATTCGATTAAAATCAAACAGTAATATCATCCCAAGTCATTACAATCAAATCCCTAACCCAAGGAACTAGGGTTCTTCATACCCAAGTGAGAGAAGGGTTCTACTCCATAGAGAGAGAAGAGAAAACAAGAATCGGATTAGTCATACTCATAACGATGAGGATAATCTGCTCCGGGACAATGATTTTCACTCCTATGACGATATCCAGGCTCGATTCGATGAAATCCAGCTCTAGGACAGCTTCTAGGATGTGTTCTTCGCACTTTCTCTCTCTAGGGCTCTGTTTTTGCTCTCAAAACACGATTCTCCCACTTCTGGCTCGGAATAGGCCTTAAAACCGGGTTTCCCGACTTGCACGGCCAGGTGCACGGCCGTGCACAACACCATTCTGGCCGTGCACCCTCAAAACACACCGTATCAATTATTCGGCCTTCATCCACCTTGCACGGCCAGGCGCACGGCCGTGCAAGCTTCAAGCCTGCCCGTGCATGGCCTCGACATGAGGTGCACGGCCAAATGGCTCAAGTGCACGGCCGTGCAGCCTCCTGGTCTGCCCGTGCACTCCCCAAACAGCTCGCCCTTCGTCCGTTCTGCGTCCAATCGACCCCAGACTCGCTCCTAAGCCTTCATTCACGTACTAGGACCTGAAATAACACAAACAAGCACAACCTAGCGTGAAATCGGCCTAAAACACGAGAATCAACACCTCAAACGGTGTAAGTATGAGGGTAAAAACATGTGTAAATGACGGTCTATCAACCTCCCCGACGTTTCAATCCATACCTGAACGAAGTGGTAAAAAAAGGTTCTGAAGCTACTCATACCTTGAGTAAGAAAACGCTATCTAGACCTCGAATTAACAGGATTTTTGGGCATGATAATATACCGGTATACCCTAACCCTTAATGAGTGAACACTAGGTCCTAATTACCTAAATCATAAACTATAAATGCTAAGATGGTGCATTGATTTTCCCCCCTATATTTGGACGAATCATAATCGTCGATTATTGTTTCTAATTAAATTGATCATGGGGTATAAGATTTAGAGAATTAAGACCTAGATTTTGATCTTTAAGGGTTAGAGTATAGTATCATGTCCGAAATATTATGATGGGATGAGTAGCTACTTTTAGATATAGGGATGTATGACAATGGTTCCTAACAAAGGAGGCAATCTAATCACCACCCGTATTGATACTAGATGTTGAGTTTGATCAATTAACGATAACTGAATGATGCCACTAGGAAGGATCACTTCCTTTCACACTTCATCAACAAATGCACGATCGATTGGTCGGTAAAATACTACTACTTCCATGATGGGATGAGTAGCTACTTTTAGATACCCATCACCCTGATCATAAAGGAAAAAAGAACACTCACGTGCCCATTTGGGGATCTGCTGAAAGGCATAATTGAAGTCTTTATGGACAACATCTCTGTCTATGAATACTCTTTTTCAAGTGTATATGAAACTTAGAGAAAGTTATCATATGTTGTAAGGAAACCAACCTCATGCTGAGTTGAAAAATATTCATTCATGGCGACTGAGGGGATTGCCTTGAGCCATAAGATCTCTAATAAAAGGATTGAGGTACATCATACAAAGATTGAAACAATCTCAAATCTACCTGCACCCACTTCTGTAAAGGCACTCTTGAGCTTCGTAGGTCATGCTGGGTTTTATTATAGATTTATCTAAGAATTCTTGAAGATAGCTCTTCCTTTGACAAGGTTACTAGAGAAGGATGCAACATTCAATTTTAACGATAAATGCCTACATGCATTCAACTTCTAAAGAAAAAACTTACCGAAGCTCCCATCCTTATGACATCTTATTGGAAACTCCCTTTCGAGGTTATGTGTGATGCTAGGAATTATGGGGTAGGTGCGATCTTGAGAAAACATAAAGAAAATTAAATGGGCACAACCATAGAGAAGGAGCTAATTGCATTAGTTTTTTATTTTTGGAAAAATTATGGTCTTATCTCATCATCTCCAAGACTATGGTCTTCACGAACCACTAGCCGCTAAAATACCTGTAGCTGAAACTTATGCAAAACTACACTTTACTAGGTGGTAAATAATATTAGAAAAGTACACGTGGATATTAATATAAAAAATGGGGATGAAAACATAGAATAAATCACATCACTCATTTTGAAGAGGCTAAATCTAACACCCTAACTAAGTCAAAACAAATGGCACATTCCCCGATGAGCAGCTATTCATAGTGGCTGTGGAAGACCAGAAATGGTTTTAGTTTGCTTGTATGAAAAATTATCTACCCAACTAGCATCAAACTTATCATCCAAAGGTGTGTATCTCTCTTAGGATATAGAGACATCATACACCTTGCCAATTAAGACCTATGAGATGGCATCGCAGTTGGAATTCAAAAACACATAAAGTGTCTCTTGAAGAAGATGTTTGTCACTCCTCCATGAAAGGAAGCCATGAACAATACTTGAAACACTTGGGTCATTGAGGGAAGTGTCGACTTACCTGGAATGGCAAGCAATAATCACCATATAGGCGAATTTGTTGGGATTCAAAAAATTCAACATGACGTCCACCTGCCTTAACGACATAGGGAATTGAAACTTGACGGAAAAGAGAGGGATGAAGTTGCTCATTACAACCGGCCAAATGTGAACACCAGTTAATGAATTTGGATAGATTTAGATGGTCTTCACTTGCTCTAGGACTTCTAGACCCTAGACGGGCAGGAAACATAGTTCTTAGGCCACCTACAAAACATGAGCCGATATGGATAAAGAGAGACACACAAATCAGAAGGATTGTGGGCCTTACCCTTGACCCACATTTCAAGCCAAGTCACCATACCACAATCAACCTTATAACCACCAATGGTGAGGCTCCCCAAAACCCCACATCAATCTTCTTGGCCACTCCGCCAAGTTTGTGACATAAAAGAATTTATCGTTGAAATTCAGTGCTGAGAAAGTCTACGATGTCTTCCTTCCTCATGGTAGTCGGCCCGGAGTCTTGTCTACTAATTTATGGTTCATAATTTCACCTTCCGACCGCACCTCGACAATCAGAGAAT